GATACAAATGTACGATACACTATACCACAGACATCATTATGCAGTAGCCTTCTAGGCTCAGACCCAAAACGTCTGCAGTTCCTTCTGGGCATATAATGCGCTGTCATAGCCAAATCAGAGTAACCATCTGAAATACACAGCTTTAGTGAAGACAGCCATTGCATGGAGATGGAGATATATTACATACTTTCTCCTAAATTTTTTTAGTTCATCTTTTACACGAGAGAGAAACATTTCCACTCAACCAAATTCATTTTATATTCCCTATAAATCATCATTGCAGCAGCTCATATTTGCTCAAATTCTTCATTTGTATACTTAAGCATTTAACATCTTAAGAGCTGCCAAGGTGTAACTTGCAGCATATCGTAGAAACAACTGGACTTTCCCAGAAAGTCTGATAGCTTGTTTTGTTTAATCACCTGAATTGGCATTATCCCATTAAACTATAAAACATACCCAGAACAACCTCAGGCTTTCCAAAAGCCCCATCACCCTCCATAAATGTCAGCCTGGAAAACTTATTATTTTAAGTTACCTAATGAGTTTGTTTGGATCCCAGCTTTGAAGAGTGAAACCAATCTGAAAAAGTAAATGAATAGTACAGTCAAAGAGAAGACCAAAGGAAACAGATGGGAAAAGACAGCATAGCCCAGGGGCCGGCCTGAAGACCTCTGTGTGCAAGGTTTCCCTTGAACGTCATCAAGACACCGGCGCTTGCAGGAAACGCAGCCAAAGGTCTCGGGATACCAGATACGGACAACTCGTTTCCATCAGATGCTCCCAGCCTGCACAAAGGCTACGGATGCATTTGCACACAGACCGCAGAGCAGCACACATAAGTAAGTATCTGAATATGTGATTCACTGTGCGGAGGATTCCCATTAATTTCACTCGGTGTTGAAACGTGCTACAGGCCTGTTACTTACTAGATGCTAGGACTTCCCAGTGTCACCTTATTCTCCTGCTTTATCAAGTGGTAATTCTGAAATTGGGGAACCTATTGCAAGACAGGTTAGAGTGGGAGGAAGAAAGGAAACTATTTTAGTAGGACAGCTTTTAGAAAAAGACACACCAAGATACTCAGAGCCAATTTGAGGTTAGATTTATGTACTAACTCATAGTGAAAAGTGTATTTCTAAATGCTGCAATATTTGAAGTAAGTCTCATTCATGTGTAGCTTGTATCTTCTTCTTAGCCTCCGCGTGGAACAATGTTTAGTTCACAGTTTGCACAAGCAATGGGACGATTGTGGAGGAATAGACGGAGCTGGAAGTCAGGAAATTCCCTGTTCCTCTGTCACTACCTTTGTCTTTGACCAAAAGGTTTAATCCCGCTGTTCCAATATCCTCATTTGCACCCTGGCAATCACA